TTTCTCTCTCGCTCAGTTCTCTCTCTCGTTCTCAGCGCCGAGCACCGCCGCCGGTCCATCGCCGTCGCTCTCCGCTCTCCCTAGGTTAGAGGCAAGGTTTTAAATTGCGGTCGCGTTAAAATTATCTCAGTTACGAAAATTGCGGATGTTACAATATAGATTGCGGTTATCGCGGCATGAAATATTTAATTATGTTCACAATCTTATATAAAATTATATTAAAATAATTTATAACATTATATAATCTTTAACTACTTATAATTAATAAAGATAAGATATTTTAAATAAAAAACTAGTTAAAGTATTCAAATAATATTAAATTTAACTAAAATAATATTAAATTTAATTATAATATTATCTAAATTAATGTAATTATGTAGGTGTAATTGTATGCCAGCACAAGAATAACACTTCTGCTTACTTTCAACTCCTGAAATACCTAAATTTTATGCAGATAATATTTTGAATTGCAAATCATTAATTTTATTTTTTCCCCAAACTGAAGTGGCTTTTGCTACATCCCTATTATTGAAAAGGACAAGAAAGCTTTTAATCTTCATTTTTTGACCAAAAGTTTCAAAAGAGTACTTAATTTAGAGCTTAAATAAGGTTTTGGTCTTCCAAAATTCACAATTTTTTTATTTAGTCCGTCCTTCGACCTTTTTCCAACTAGTCACATCAAAAAATATCTTTCATTTCCATTAGATCTTTTTATTAATAATTTGTTAATTTATTTTAATATTTGTTTACATAACATTAGAGTTGACTCAATTAATTTGATTGAAAGATATCATAAATGAGATGTGTCATTAATAACATCATATTTTTCCATAATTGAATGGAATTTTAGCTTAAAAAGATTTAAAAATATATAGCAAGCGAAAATGTAGATGCTATATTACTTTCAGCAACCTGCACACAACAAAACTGCTCCGCGACCGAACTGTAGTGGCGGCCGACAGCTGCGCCGGCGCAATAGTGCCGCTATAGCGCGCTATTAACAACTTTGCCTACAACTGTTACGAAGAAATCAAAGGTTGAATTTTAATAGAACAAGACAAATTTATACATTCACTGTCATTATTGTTATTGAAAATTCTTTCCCATGAAATTTGTCGCTTTAAGTTTTGGTTTGCTTGGAAAAAAAAAATGCAAGGGACAATTTCACCTTCATCACAAACTTCTTTTTTGCTGTTGAAATTATATGCCAATATGATTTTATTAAATAATCTTAATAAAATATATTTCTTAAGATATAAACAAATATTAATTATAAAATTACAGGTTTTATTTATCTAAATTTATCGTGCATCATCATAAAAATAATATTATGTTATCAAATAATTAAATTAATAAAAATTAATCTCTAAATAAAACAATAGATAAAATAAGTACTAATTAAGACTTACATCTAAAATTAGTAAATACCTTATATATATATAAATTATTTAATAGTTAATTTTACCTAACATTTTTATTTCAACAAACTTGCTAGTAACTTAACATATTTCGATTAAAAATAATAATTTTTCAAATTCTAAACTATCTTTTCAGTTAATTGTACCAAACAAAATCATAATATATTTTATAATTACAATAATCTGAAACACCATTAAATAAATTTTTAAATTTAGTAAATACTTTTTTGTAATATTTTATACTAAGATTGAATTACTCTTTTTAATATTTTACAACTAATATATATGTTAGGTACTTTAATTAATTTCTTAACAGTTTTAATGATTAGTGTAGTTTTATGATAATATTTATCTTCCGACTAGTTTGTTAAATAAATGTATTATAAGAAAACACATTTAAATTTTATAAAATATGAATTAAATTAACGGATTGATTTAAAATTAACTATATTTACAAGGATTAAAATCATATTCCTTCAAATTTTTAACTTAGCAACTTCTCTAAAGAAAACCTTCCTGATCAAGTCCCTTTTTTATGTAAGAATATCTCCGAATCGATAGTTAAATTATTTTCTTAAGCATAAAAATTATTATAATAAAATTTTTCTTTCATAGTTAAAATTTTTCAACAAATAGTAAAAAATTGAACTTAAAAGAGTATATTATGCTAAACTTTGTTCGTCTCAATCGAGTGCTTTAATATATAACCTGTTTTTTATTTTATTTTTATCAATTAAGACAATTCATTAACTTATAAATGAGTTTAATTACAATACAAAAACTAAATATAAATTAGTTAACGACTAAATAATAAATATATGATAAATTATAGACTTAGTTAATTTTAATTTAGGTAAAATTAATTTTTTTGTTTTTTAACTTTAAGGATAAATTTTATTTTTGTTCTTTAATTTATTTACTTATTTTATCTTTAAAGTCTTTTTATGTTAGTCCTTTCTATTAACTCCATTGTATAATTTAATAAAGATATCTTAGATAACGATGTGATAACTTTAACCTAAGTTATTTAATTCAACCTAAATTATTTTATTTAAAAATTTATTAAAAAAATTATTTTATTTAAGTATGAACCTTTAAGCTTCATTGACACCGTTGCAGGTGTTCCTTCCTAATAAACTTAAACAAGTTAAACATATCTAATAATTCTATTATCAGCAAGTTTCTTACATAGTTGTATAAAATGCTTAAACCTTTGACACAAATTTTTGTCAATGTTGTTCATGGCAAAAATGTCAATAAGGTCAAAGAAAAGTGAATAGTGCGATAATTGTTCCTCTAAGAGCATGTCCGGTAACAATTATTCAAGAGTTGCTATTAATCTGCATTAGAATTGTTACAAGGGTTCATAGAATAAAAACAATATATGTCCAGCACATGCGGAAAATTTACATCATTCTTATGACAAAAATTTAAAATCAATAAAAAATTATCCCTAAAATTTTATTCCAAACATCCATTCAATTATTTGTTTTGCTTAATAAATTAGCAACTCATGCATAATTATCAATTTGACTTGTAAATCTTTGTCAAAGTCATTCCTTTCCAATAAAGAACTATATTTGTTTGATAGAATAATATCACTGCACGAGTAGCAATGCTATAAACACAAAATAAAGATCCACATTAACTTTGAAAATGTTTTATGAAAGTAATTTTTGAAAAATATTTTCAAAATTAATCTCTATTTTATTAGGCTAATATTCTTTCTTTTACTACTTCATCTTCTTCCTTCAATCACCCTATTCTAAAAATTAATTTTTGAAATCTGTTTTATAAAATAATTCTCAATAATAAAAAATAATAAAAAACACAATCAAATCAAAGACACATAAATACTTTGACACATATAAAATATTTCTGTTAGATTATATAATAAAATTAATAAAAAAATAACGTAAAAAAAATAAACTTTAAGTATAAGAATGAATAAAAAAATAAAAAATAAAAATAAAATCTATTGTAGAGTTAAAAGATGAAAAGTATAATTTTATTTTTAATTTATTATATTAATTTGAATGAATGATATATTGTTTAAAATTTAAGTAAATAATTATTATTAAATTATATATTTACAAACATATAAATTATGATAAGTTTGATATATAATTTAAATTATAATATGATAAATTAATAATTAGATCGATAATTTGTAAATAAAAGTTATTAAAATATGTATTTTGTGTGTTTTTTCTCCAACAATGCATGTGGTTTTGGGAAACACGTCCATGTTTGATAATATTTTAAATTTTTAAAAAAACTTTCCGATGATAACTTTTAATGCTTTATAACTTTTTTATGTTTTTTATTTTTCAATTCTTGTACCTATATAAAAATCATTAAAAGCTAAGCGATTTTTAAACTTCATATTATTTTTAAATAACTTGTATAAAAATATAATCCGCAATATGCTGTGTAATGTAAGCTTCTCGAGTCTTCTTCGATTGACATACTCTTTCCTCATAAGTTCTGTCAACAATGTGTTCTTACCATGCTTCGAAGCAAAAGAGTTGACATCGTAATATTAGAAGTCCTGCTAATAAATAACCTTAAGATATTAATTGAATATTTAATGAATAAAACATTATTACCTTTTAAAATTATTTAATTAGTATCTCTTAAAAACACTAGTTAAATTTTGTTAAAAAATTCCGATTTCAGAGATAACAATACTATTTTTGGTGCAAGATCATTAATAAATTGATAAATAATACTATTTTATAATTATTTGTAAACACGGAGTTCATCGTGATAAGGCTGGCGGTATTTATTTGTCTCACGGTTTGGCCATGATTAAAAACAATGCATTGATTTCATATCAATTTATTTCATTTAAAAAAACCTCTTCAACTTTATCTATCAGTGTCACTTCTGAAAAAAATAGAAAAAAGAAAAAAAAATTATGTAAAATAAGCAATTTGGTTGACAAGAAATAAAAATTTTGTTAGTTGATTAATGAATTATCGTATTTTATTATCATAATTTAAATTTTTATTTTAAACAATATATTAAGTTAAAAATTATTAAAATAAAATAACTTTTTTACGTTATATGTTTACTCATATTTTATTTAAAATAATTATTTTTAAAATATAATTTAAATATTTTTATGAAAGTTATATCAACATTTTTAATAAAAAAATATTTTAAAATTTTTATTTTTTAAAGTATATAATTTTTAAGAAAAATATATTAAAAAAATTATAAAAATATTTTAATTATTTTATAAAATATATTTTATAATTTTTCCTAAAAATAAATTTTATTTGGAAAAAACTATTATAATTTAATATTAAATTTTAATATTATATGTACATATAAAATATTTTTAAAATTTTAATATCTATATATATTTATAATTAAAAATTTTAAATAACTTTGATAAAAAAAAAATAATTTTATATTTAAATATAATTTTATTTTATTTTATTTTATTATTTTTATTTATTTCAAACATTAAAAATAATAATATTATATTATCTATTCTTGATGGAAATCAAACACAATCTCTCCATCCTATCATTTCTTATATTTCACTGGACAACGGACACTTAATTGCTCACCTCTCTCTCTTCTCCATTGGCTCTGTTTTTCTAAATTCAACTCTTTCCCTCTTTGCCTCTGCAATCCAATGGATTCGACATCCACGCCAACCACCACTGTCGCTAACACCAAAGAGATAATCATGGAGATTCCAGGCTTTGTCCGAGTGTACAACGATAGCACCATTGACCGTGTCCAAGACACTCCTATTGTGCCACCCACCCTTAAAGATCCAACCACAGGAACATCATCCAAAGACGTTGTCATCTCCGAAAACCCCCTAATCTCTGCTCGCCTATACCTTCCAAAATCGATCCAACTTCAATCCCAGAACCACAGAGTTCCCATCTTGGTCTACTTTCATGGTGGTGGATTTTTCTTTGAATCTGCGTTCAACCAACGCCACCAAAACTACATTAACCTTTTCGTCTCTGCAACAAATGCTTTAGTCATTTCTGTGGAGTACAGGCTCGCCCCAGAGAACCCTCTTCCTGCAGCTTATGAAGACTGTTGGGAAGCTCTCAAATGGGTGGCCACCAAAACAGAGCCATGGATTCTGAAGCATGGTGATTTCGACAGAGTTTTCATTGGCGGTGACAGTGCCGGTGGTAACATTGTGCATAACATTGCCATGCGTGCAGGGGTTGAAGCTTTACCTGGGGGTGTCAAAGTCTTGGGAGCTTTTCTTTCTCATCCCTTCTTCTTCAGCTCAAAGCCAATTGGATCAGAAAGAGTTGAAGGGCATGAACAGAGCGTGCCGTTTTTGGTGTGGGGTCTTGTTTATCCTTCTGCGCCTGGTGGAATTGACAACCCTATGATCAACCCCCTGGTTGTTGGGGCACCGAGCTTGGCTGGGCTTGGGTGTTCTAAGCTTCTTGTTTGTAACGCTGAAAGGGATATGATGAGGGAAAGAGGGGTTTTGTATTACGAGGCAGTGAAGAAGAGTGGGTGGCAAGGCCAAGTTGAACTGTTTGAAGTGGAAGACGAGGAACATGCTTTTCACATTCACTATCCAGAATCGGAAAATGCAAAGAAAATGATGAAGCGCTTTGCTGATTTTTTCACCCAGTAAATGAATTTCCTTTACTATATATATGGGTTTTGGTGAAGCTGATTTTGAGGGAACACAAAACTACTGAATGTTAATGTTTCAATCCAGTGTCATCGATGTAATGCTTGAACTCTGCTTATTATAATATTATTATCGTTATGTACTAGTAAAAGTTGGAACAACTGGACTTAGCCAAGTTCGTGCCGATCTGAAGTCTTAGACAAATGCTTATTTTAGCACAAATTAGACAATATCATGTGTAATGTGAAATGTGTTATGTTGTAGTCATGGAAATGAAGAATAAAGTATTCAATCACGCTTGCGAGGAATCCTGCAAAGCAACTGGCATATGATAATAAAATATCATAAAATACAATAAATGAATAAGTGTCTATTTTAATTACAAAAGATATTGTTATATCGTGCACCGATATGTTCAAGATATGGCAGGTTTTTTGTTTTCATGTCAAATGATGCTTTCTTGTGTGTATTGTTAGTTCCTTTTTAATTTTCAACGGAAGTGACATCAGAAGGTTGTTAGCGTTAAAAATAACTATCTCTGTTTGCGATTTGATTTTTTCTTGATGTTTTATTGCATAATTAAGGTCATCATTAACTAACCTTTGTCATACATTGGAATAACGTTTGGGTTACACAAAGTATTTATCATCTAATATGTATGAAAATTATCCACAAAAAATAAAAAGAGAGAAAACTAGCGTATCCCAATCAACCTGAATTTGTTGTTTTTCTGTATTAATTACAGAATTTAACAGATTTAGTAATACAAAGGAGATCAATATTACCCACAATGCAGAAAAAGAACGCAACACTTCATACCAAATACATTTAATGAGTCATCAACCAAGTATCAATGAGGAAACCAAGTTTGAACTGAGGTAAATTTTAAGAGTATTTTTTTTTCAAGAGTTTCCTTATGAAGATTGGTTGTAGCCTGTTATCACTAACTAGTAACTACGCCTTAATCATATTGATTAGCAAACATTAATTAATTCAATTTAAATATGTATGAAAAGAAATCACGTTTTCACCTGATTCATGGAATAATAATTTATACTGGCCGGTGGAGTACCTTTCGATACAGTGTTCACTTTCCATGCAATAAAGTGGATCCCTACAATAAAGTGGACTTCAGTTTTAGACAAAACATTGCCGCAGCCTTTATTTAATTCCATCTAGTCAAAGTTTCACACCGTGTACTAACTTTTGTGGCGACCTTATTTGACTTGTATTCAAAGCTCAATTCTTTTATATCACTTTACATTAAACTTATTAAAAATGTCCTGCTTCATGTGCCAAGTAATTTGATATTTTATAAATAATAATATATTTAACACGAATACCTTTTTGTGAAAATATTACAAATAATTTGTTGATGAATTATATAAAGGGTGAGTGCATAAATAAAGTGAAAACGATTATTTAATTAGAAAACTATTGTTTTTAACATATGATATTTTTATTTTATAAAAGAAATAAAAATGTAAAATAAGAGATAAAAAGTACAACGTATTTTGCTTGTTATTCTTTATAAAAAGATTAACTTGATTCTAGTAATATGGGACATATTAATTTTTTTTAATTAAGATGAATTTTAGTTAATAAATAACACAAAATTATTTTATAAATTACACTTTAACTTTGTCTAAATATTCTCATTATCTAGTATCTTTTTGTACATTTGAATTTTATTTTGAGCATTCTCTCTCTTTCCTTGTTTTTTTTTTCAGATAATTTTATTATTTATAAAATTAATAGTTTTATTTTATCATAATATTTTATCTTTTATATTTAATTTTTTACATATTTTATAATAAATAATTTTTACATAATTTTTTTAATAAATTTCTTCTATTTTGATATTAATTACTTTTAAATGTTACACAGAATGTAGTTTTTTTTTTTTATTAAATCAGCTTATCAATTAATTTATAATTATGTCCATCAGTCTTATAATAGTCTTGTCTTGTTTAAAGTTTTGTGGGCCTGAAAAGGTCCAAATATTGCTTTTTTGTTTTGGAAACTTGCCCCTAGAAAATTACTCACTAATGATAAGAGATTTAGATGTTGTATGACTGATTTCCTAACCTACCCTAGCTGTGGTGAAGGCTCTGAAACTATTATGCGTGTCTTGAAAGATTTTTTCTATGCTAAAAAATATTGACATCGTTTTATTCTATTTAATCAACGGGCTCAATTTTTTAGTAAGGGTTTGCATGACTGAATGTTGTAACATCCCAAATTTTTTAATACAGTTTGATTATTAATATAAGTGTTTGCGTTGATTTTTTCGTATTTTGTATTTATATATATATATATATATATATATAAACATATATATGTATGATGTGAATGGATATTGGAGTTGCACTTGAGCGTGTGATAAACTTTGAATGTTGGTGTGTATAAATACTTATGGATACATATAACTATATTTGTATATGATTGGATTGGATTGATTGGACTGAAAAACAGGTTAAGGGTGTAATACTGGGGCATTCTTGTTGTAGCGAGAGGGCCCTTGGAAAAAGGCGTGAAACTATCACCTTCTAAAGACAATTTGCGGTGCATTTCTGGGTGCAGTCTCGTTGTAGCGAGAGGGTCTCGCTGTAGCGAGATTCTATAGAAATTAGAATGCAATTCTCTCTGAGATTTTCGCTGTAGTGAGGGAATCTTACTGCAGCGAGAATGTCTCGCTGTAGCGAGAGTGTCGCGACCAAAAAGGGATTTAAAGGGGTTAGGGTTTGGGGAAGTTTCATTTCTCACTTTTCCTTCAAGATTTATTTGATTCCCTCATTCCCAAACTCTATTGCACCGATTAAATTGCCTCCAAGCTACTTAGGAGCAAGATTGAAGGTTGGATTTGTGTAGGGAACGCTTGAAGGTGAGTTTTAATGCTTAGGGTTTCGGTTTTTCATCTCCATCTTTTGATTTCTCAGTTTTCCTGGGTTCTCATAGGGTTCTTCCGTGTATTTAGGTTAAAGTTCGTGTGGGAGAGCGCCTACCTTATTGATTTGGTGTATGGATCTTCATTTGAGGTAAGGGAGAGACTTTATCCTATCTCATTGTATTTAAATTACCCTTTATTTCGTTGATTGTTGTGATGTGACTGGGATAGAGAGTAGGAAATGTGTGATTTAAAGAAAATTATTGTGTGTTTAGAGTGAAATGTGAATTAATTGTGGGGTTGACATACCCTTGATTGAGAATGTGTGTGAGCATGTTGATGAATGATGATTAAATGATGTAAATGGTTGGAAATGGCATATGTGCCGAGTATTGTGAATGAATTATGGGCCCGTGTGTCGTGTACTGTAAATGAATGTGGGCTTCTGTGCCGTGTAATGTGAATAAATGTAGGCAAAGTATGTCGTGTATGATATGCTATGAATGATTCAGTGATACACTAGAGGTGTGGAAGATGGGGACGGTAGAAATACCTTGGAGAAGAGAGAGTAGTGGTGACACCAACAGTGAGTGCGGGTGTACCACAGGCCACACACTCTCCTCCTAATTAGACCTCTGACCACTACCTTTGCTAAGCGACTCGTGACTACTCACGTGGTATCTGTGAAGCAGGGATAACAGCTGACCATTCCTGGTGTGAAACTGTTATCACAGTGGCACTATGTGCGTGACTATGTGTAATAAGTGCACATGTGTGAAATGTTGGTGCAGTGAGTGCACCGGTTGTATTTTGAATTAGAATAGATGATGAATGATTATTGTGATTGAGATTGAGATGCTTGTATTGTGGATGCATAATTTAAAATATGTTAGTAAATGTATATTGTTTGAGGTGAATCTCTATGTTTATGTGTGTTAGATAGTGTAGAGTACTCATCCTTACATTTATTTTTCAGGTAACCAAGATGATCAACACCGGACTCAGTGAAAGAAGGATGAACTGCTATAGGATTTATATTGTAGTTTGAAATTATGATGTAACTGAACTAGTCATGTAGCAATTTTTGATTTAAATTTGTAATCCTTTATTGTTTTGAATTATTTTATAAAACTCTAAAGATGAGATCTTTTTATTTAAATGGAAATTTTATTACTCCCATTTTACAAAATTATTACTTAAAAATTAATTTAAGGTGTTATAGATATTATCAAATTTGTCTTGTATTTCTTTTATGAATTTTTAGAATTAGAGTATATTGTTTGTTGTCATTGTTTGGAACTTCTGGAAGGATAGGAATGAATTTATATTCCAAAACTCCTCTGTCCCTCTTAACAATTTAGCTCAAAAAATTCTTCATAATGCTGATTTTTTCTTTTGTTGTTACAGTGACAGAGTTAAACCTATATCTAAATTAATCTCTGATCATGGTAAAGTCAGATGGGTTCCTCCTCCTTTGGACCAGCTCAAATTAAATGTTGATAGGACTGTTTCCAAAGCCAGTAAGGTTGTTGCTTATAGGGCCTGTGTTGATATTTTTCTTTAAATCATGACAAGTGTACTGAGTCTTTTGCAAGTAATTACCAATGAAGTATCGAGATATCGTCCTCAGGGATCAATTCAAAATGTATTAATTATTAAGATATAAATTGATTGAGCTTATATTTAATGAAATTAATTGATGCTTTTCGTAGAAATTGAGTACAAATTATAATACAAGATAATGATGTAAAATGTAGTAAAAATCAAATTAGAAAAACTGGGATTAAATTTCATCTATTTCCCTCTCTATATTCCAGTAATTCAGTGATAAACATAGTAATCATTTCCATTGATATTGATGCAAAATATAAAAATCATATATCTCACTTCCTTGAAAATATACTTCTAAGATAGTTTCTTAAATATTGATTCCTTAAGCACTTAACAAATTACTTAGCATTACAATCAAGATTTAAAAGCAATCAATAACTTGAAATCTATTTCTAGAGTGACCAGCTACTGAGTAATCTCAATCAGATTTAGATCTAAGCAATATATTCCCAGATGTAACTCAGATTTGGGCTCAAGAAGCTATCAATTAAATAGATTTAAGCATTAAACACGGGTCGAAATCACTAAATCAATATAAATGAAGAAGAAACAACTATATTTATATAAATTATTAAGAATACATCAAGTTTGAAGATTTATGTTCAATCCCATAAGAGTATTAGCTACTCATTATAGCCATAGCATCAAGAAAAGAAGTACAAACGATATAAAACATGAGAAAATGAGTGTTCCCACTCTATTTCTAAGCTCTCCGTCGTTTCTCTCACTCTTGAATGGAGCAATACTCTTACTGAAACACAAAAGTTTCCTTTTATACCATTTTGGACAAAGTTTCTCTCGTTACAGCACCGTACTCTTGCTTTAGAGAGAACAATAAGTAAAAGTTAGGTCATTCTACTTGCCTCTCGCTGCAGCGACATATGTCTCGCTACAAATGTGTCACTGTAGTAAGAGAAGTATAGAATCACATATTCTTCAAAAGTGAATTCTCGTTGCAGCAAGGATTTCTTGCTGTAGCGAGAGACCATCAGGGCTCCTTTGTCTTTAAATTTCATGCTTTTTGTGCTTCTTACTTAATTTTTCAAATTTTTTCAATTTTGTATCATGTTTCTCTTTTTATTCCAACTACATAATATATCAAAAGAAAATCAAAATACTGAAATTTGCATTCTTCTCCTTAAATATACAAGTAATTATGAAAATTCTAAAATTAGAGGGAATTAAACCAAAAACTCCAAATACTTAACATGAAAAGTGTCTAGGTTATCACATAAAATAACCCAATTTATACATTTATCAGCCTGCTTTGTGATAGCTGTGGCGTATTCATTTTAGGTTTTTACAATAGCCTAGAGCTATTTTCTCCTACTGCAGTCAAAGCATGAGGCATTTTCTAAGGTATTCAGTTAGTGATTAAACATAAAGTGATGATGACCATTTAGATAGAAAATGACTCCAAAAAGGTTATTGGCTTTATTTTGAATATCTATCAGTCCTTTCATCCTTTATTCCATTTAATTTGTAATATTAGAGAAGCTTTAAAATCTATTAGCTTTGTAGATTTGTTCATGTGTGTAGAGAGACTAATCATTGTGTTGATTGTCTAACTAAGATAAAACTTGATCTTTTATTTTTTATATCTCATTTTGATACTCTTTCATCTCCCTATGTCCCTTTCTTAAGTATGGATGCTAGCAGTTTGTGGTTTGTTAGGTCTGTGGCTTAGTTAATTTATTTGTTTTAAATTTTGTAACGCCTTCTTATATATATATATATATATATATATATATATAAATAATATAATAAAAAAATATTAAATTATATTTAATCCTTATAAATAATATTTATTTATGAATTAATCTTTGTACTTAAAAAAATTAAAATAAAATTACATTTTACTTTATGTATAAGTACTTTGTTACATTTTAAATCATGTTGTTGTATATTAATGTCTACTGTTTAATGATTAAATAAATTAAAATATAAAAAAATCCATAAATAAATTAAAATGTAAGATTTTATTAATATAAAGATTAATTTTAAAATATGTCAAATATAAAAATTAAATGTGTAATTTAACTAATAATAATTTTAAAAGAATATAGAAAATTAAACTTAATTAAAAAAATTGTATTGTAAGTTAATTTTAGTTTTTTACCTTAATTTTTTACTAAATTTTTTAATTAATTTTAAATTTTTAACTTTGATCTTATTTTAACGTGAATGAATAAAATATCAACATTATTATTTTTATTATAATAATTTTTTAACATGTAACTTTCTTAATTTATAATTAAATGATATGAAAGTTGAATCAACTTTTTTTTTTTTACGAGAAATGAATATCTAATGTATTTAAACAGACCTAACAGGGCATGAAAGTGCGTGCTTTTCCTTGTTTCATCATCTTCTGCTCAGTTGGCGGTAAACTCCAGTCTCTCATTGTGCTTCCATACCAATTGCTCTTATCTTCTCTGTCTTCAATGGCTTCCGATGGCAGAAGCACAAGAGAGGTAGAAACAGAGATTCTTCCCGTTATCCGTGTCTACAAAGATGGCACAGTGGAACGCCTCATGGGCTCTCCGATCGTGCCAACCTCTCTTCAAGACCCTCAAACTGGTGTCTCTTCCAAAGACATCGTTATCTCCAACGACCCTTCCATCTCCGCACGTCTTTACCTTCCCAGTTCCACTCAACCCCACCACAAGCTTCCCATCTTGCTCTACTTCCACGGTGGTGCATTCTGCATCGAATCCGCTTTTTCTTTCCTCGACCACCGCTACCTTAACCTCATAGTCTCCGAAGCCAACGTAATTGCCGTGTCGGTGGAGTACAGATTAGCACCAGAACACCCTCTTCCTGCAGCCTTTGATGATTGCTGGGAAGCTCTCAATTGGGTCGCTTCCCAGTCCAATTCCAACACCACTAACATAGAGCCATGGCTGAAGAATCACGGTGACTTGAGCAGAATTTACTTAGGGGGTGACAGCGCTGGTGCTAACATAGTGCATAACGTGGCTCTTCGTGCTGGGGTTGAAGCCTTGCATGGGAATGTGAGAATATTGGGTGCGTTCCTTTCCCACCCTTACTTTTGGGGTTCCAAGCCTGTTGGGTCAGAACCGAACGAGGGGAACAAGCACTTGCACGTTAGGGTTTGGAACTTTGCGTACCCTTCTGCCCCGGCTGCGATCGATAACCCCGCCATTAATCCGTGTGCTCTTGGTGCTCCCAACTTGGCCACGCTTGGGTGCTCTAAGCTACTTGTTTGTGTTGCTGGCAAGGATCAGCTTAGGGACAGAGGGGTTTGGTACTACGAGGCTGTGAAGAACAGTGAGTGGCAGGGTCATGTGGAACTCTTTGAGGTTGAAGAGGAAGATCATGCTTTTCACATTTACAATACTGAAACTCAGAATGCCAAAATTATGATCACACGTTTGGCTTCTTTCTTGCTTTGAGTGAACGAGCTCTTCGTATGGATGATGTAATTTTGTTTCTAAAATGCTTTCTCGTTTTTAAGTCTTGTGAGGATTGATAAGGCCATTAGGTTTTATTGAAAAGTTATTTTGTTTCAAGAAACTGGTTTCAATCAATTTTGGTGCCTTTAATTTTTTTTAATCTCTCTTTTTCTTATATTCTTTTTAATTTTGTTAATTTTAATTTTTAAGATTTAATTTAAACATTCAAACGTAATAAGTTTTTATTTAAAAATTTTTATTCTACTTTATATATTTTTAATATAATAAATATTTCATTTTTAATATTACAATTTAAAATATTTAAAGTATTAAAGTTAGAAAATTACATTTTTTTATCCTGGCCCCTGTTAGGTGAGCTTGTAGATAAATTTTTATATAAAAAAGTAATATAAAAAATAAATAAAATTCTTTTCATAATTTAAAATTAATTCATATTTTTTTATTTTTTAAAAATTACTCGTATCTAACTTTTCTAAAATTTGAAAAATAAATTATTTTTTATTTATAAAAATTGTTATTATTTTTCTTCTCTCTTTAGAACTTCACCCAAAAATGACATTTTCTCTTTGTCTATTTCTCAGTTCTTTTTATAAGATTTCTTTATTTTCTTCACGCGCCATTGTCAGATTCTAGCGTGGGGGAATAGTTGTCGTGGCCCCGCTAATGGATCGCGAAGGATCGCGCTGCTATAGTTAATTCGATGCGCCATTTTTTATTATTTTCTTTTGTCGTTAAGAATGGGAAAACAAGTAAATTAAATGTCACTGAAGATGCATTATAGTTTGTGCAGTTCTTTGTGTAGGCCTGACAAATATATACTTCGAAGGATCCAAGTCACTTATCAAATACATATTCATATCTTGTGTCAGAATCAAAACAACGGATCAGGATTCTCGATTTAATGTTGAGAGGCAATTGTAGAGTTCAACTGCAGAGTATTTCTACCCACGGCTCAGTTTAATTTTCAGAATAAAAAATGTATATAGGCTATAATGATATAAAGTTTGAACTAATCGTAATAATTGAACCCTAATTGACATATTTAAAAATTTTAATAAATTTTTTATCAATTGTGTCAGACCTTATTATTTACATGTGAGCACATTATTTAACCCTTTGCTCATTAAGCTTAATTATTTTCTCTCCTCGGTGGAGGCACATTTAACCAAATGAACAAATGAACAGTTCGTAATTTTTAACAGGCAGTTTTTCCATTTTACCAAGAATACTTACATTCATAAAGAATTCCATAAAACTAGGGTGAGATTACGGCTAGGAAATTAGTTAAATTAGATTAGACTTCATAAAATGTAAAAGAATGGTTGATTTTATTTTTAAATACTATATTTTATTTTTTAAAAATTTAAAACTATTTTTAAAAATAAAATCAAACATACTTTAAATTTTTTTTAAAGCTAAAGTCTAAAGTTAATTTATATAGTTATTATAGAACTTTTTTTTTCTAATTTAACTTTTTGTTTTTATTATCAATTCATTCTCATTTTAACACAGTTATTAGCTACATAGAGGTTGATAAATTTATTTTTGAAAAACTTAGAGTATGTTTCATAAAACTTTTCAATAGTCTTTTGAGATAAAAAAAAGCTTTTGGTACTGATTAAAATTCTGTTTGGATGAAAAAAATTAAAAGCTACTGATTATTATTTTCTAAAAAAAAAAGCTGTTGGATTAAAAACTAAAAATTACGCATTCTCTTTGAAAAGCTGTTGAGACAAAATAAAATTTTTTAATAATTATTTCTCAATAAATATATTCAAACAAAAATAGATTCTACAAATTCTATACATAATTAATTCAATTCAACACATGATCAATTCTTTAAATAATTTAATTTTTACAGCTATTCCAAACACACTTTTAAACTAAAATATTACTTTATTTAAGAAATAATTTATTTATTTTAAAGAATAATATTATTTTAACACTCAATTTGAGTCTTTATATTAAACATATTATATAACTATAGCATGATTACTTTTTAATTATATATAATGTTTATTATAGACACATAAACTGAGTTTTAAAATAATATTAATTTTTAAAAAATAATAAACATTTTATATTTTTAAGAAAGAATATTTTTCTTAATTTACTCGTAAGATGATTATTATCGTAATTTTTTATTTTATCTCTCTATTTATTTATTATATAAATAAATTTTAAAATAAATATAATAACAGAATTCATAATACTTTTAATAAAATAAATAATTAAATATATTTCTTATGTCACAATTTTAAACTATTCAAAACAAAAAGAAGAAAGAACAATTAAAGTTTGTACATAATTAATTATGTCTTTTAGAATTATGTGTTCTCCTTTTTAAAAGTAAATTTAAATTATATGATTTTATGCATGTGCACAAAAGCTTTAGGTGTTGACTAATATTTCAAGGATATTGGTTAATAAATTAATAAATAATATATATATATATATATAATTATATTAAAATACTTTAAAAAATATGATGATAAGTGTTTTATATATTTTTAAATAAAAAATTATTTTCTAAATCTTTAATTAGTGTATAGAAATACTTCTTGATATTTTTTCAAAGTTTTATTAATAGTTTCGTTATCAATCTCATTCAGGTAAAGGAAAGTTGTCACGTTAGGTCTTCCACAATCAACATTAAATTATAAAATATATCAAAATTCATACATGAGTCTGCATGCACAAAGTTAATCTTAACAATGACCATTAAGTATTATCATAAATTATCAAATTAAAACAAAAAACCTTATTATATTTTGTGATCATTTAAAAATAATTCGTATATTAAAATTTTATTCAGATAAAAATTTAATTAAAATTTATTTACTAAATTCTTATCACACAATAACTTTTGTAACAAATTTAATAGGAAAAATTATTTATAACACTTTATTTCATTTACTTTTTTCTCTTGATCTTTAGTTGTCATATCCTTCCATGTATATCAAATTTCTCTCTTTCGAAGAAGTAATTACAGCAGAGAACGGGCTCTTTGAATACTTGGAGATGCATACTTTCATGAGCACCGGGTGCTTGCATGGGTTTGTTGTGACGCTTTTTTATGTTTTTTGTCTGACGGTGAATTGTTTTAGTGGCCCAAGCATCGATTCCCTGCTCCATCTCCCAAAGATGGCTATTACTTTTATATCTTTTATACAATAAATATATATTTTTAATAAAAAATATTTACTTTTAGATGCTTCAACTTTCTTAAAGTTAATGTTATATATATAAAAAATTATGGGCCTGGACGCAGTCACATGTAGGCACCTACACCTACAATACGTTTGTTTAATTAACTCTTAACTCTGAGCTGATTAGGATAATGTTTATTAGTATAGACCTCTTCTCTTGATACAAAACTGAAGCTTGCTCTCTCCCCTGTTCGGATCCACTAACCTATTCCATCCACTCTCTCCCTTCAATGAATTCTCCAAGCAACAAGGAGATAGAGAAAGAGCTTCTTCCACTTATAAGAGTCTATAAAGATGGAACAGTGGAACGCCTCCTAAGCTCTCCAAATGTGTCACCCTCCCCTCAAGACCCAGAAACGGGGGTCTCATCAAAAGATATTGTCATCTCCCACAACCCATTCCTCCCTGCTCGCATTTTCCTCCCCAAAACACATCAAAACCAAACCCAAAACAATTACCTTAACCTTAACCTCTTAGTCTCCCAATCTTCGTCTACTTCCACGGTGGGGCCTTTTGCGTTGAATCAGCCTTCTCCTTCTTCTGCCACCGTTACCTTAACCTCTTAGTCTCCGAAGCAAACGTAATAGGCGTGTCCATCGATTACAGACTCCTTCCACACCACCCTCTTCCTGCAGCATACGAAGATGGTTGGACTTCACTCCAATGGCTGGCTTCCCACGTCACCAACAACCCCACCAACGCGGAGCCGTGGTTACTTACCCACGGTGATTTTAGCAAAGTCTACATAGGGGGTGACACCAGCGGTGCAAACCTTGCACACAACTTGGCCATGCGTGCTGGAACAGAGACATTGGTCGGTAATCTTAAAATAGAGGGTGCTATGTTGTGTTGTCCCTTTTTCTGGGGTTCGAAGCCAATTGGGTCAGAGGGTGTTGACGAGCACGAGCAGAGTTTGGCCATTAAGGTGTGGAGCTTCGTGTACCCGAATGCAGTTGGTGGAATCGATAACCCTATGGTCAATCCTTGTGCTCCTGAGGCACCTAGCTTGGCCACCCTTGGGTGCTCCAAGATGCTCATTGCTATCACTGGGAAAGATGAGTTCAGAGATAGGGATATTCTTTACTACGAGACTGTGAAGAAAAGTGGGTGGCAGGGTGAACTCCAGATGTTTGACGCTGGAGAAGAGGAACATGGTTTTCACATCTTCAAGCCCGAAACTGATGGAGCCAAAGCCATGATCAAACGTTTGGCTTCTTTTCTCGCATGAGTGTCGTGTTGTGTTCATGGAAAAATTTTATGTTGACTAATCCTATACTACAATTATTTTCTACAATACTTTGTTTATCTCACCAAAATAAATGCATGCACCCCTTGAGAGTGGTAGTTATTGTTGCATCATTTGCTAGTTTGTTTCCTTTGTTTGTGTACTTCATTATTGAAGGAAAATGGAATAACACTCCTCTGTACTTGGAACCATAGTGAAAGTCACTCACAAAAAGGACGAGATCCCGGCCTGCACTTCTTGATTCGCTTTAAATTATTTCAATTTTGAACAAACTTCAACGACTCATAGATTAACATATTAAATATCCTTTTTTTCTTAACAATTCCAATCCCAAACCTTTGTTAACTCCAAGTTGGTACAAACACGTTTGACTTGTTTGGGACAAACACTGTATGTGGTTATTCATCCATATAAAATTAATTTAAAAAAGATAAAGAAAACCTCATTTCCACTCCACCAAATGGCATTTAGAGCGAGTTTGAGGCCAAATGAATGATGTTTACGTACCCTATATTGGAGACTTTGGCGGTGGAGGGACGTGGGTAGGACAAAATTATCTGGTTTGTCTTTGTTACGAACTTTTTCAATCATACCCAAAAAAATAATGTTATCGTTCTCATAAATGTCACTTTCTTAACAAAACATTGACCGTTGACTATTCAACAAAGTAAATTTATCTAAACAGCAATAAACAAGTAGAAATTGAGAAAAATTACATGAACTCAGAAGAATAACAATGACACACAAGGAAGAAGTTTCTGTTGACTTTATACCTTATCGGGTATATGTTAAATTTTTATAACTTAATTATTTATGATTTTGGTTATTGGTAAGAATTTGAATATAGTTAATAATCAATCTGTAAGTCAATTAAATCTATATTCATTATATAAAGTATAACGTTTCCATACAAATACTAAAATCAGGTTCCCAATTACGTTATGTAAGCTAAATGGTACATATTTTTATCATATTCAATAGTCAAATTAGTAAAAAAAAAAAACCCAGCAATACAACCATCATTCATTCTTATGGTTTAAAAATTAATTTATTGGATCCTATTTAATTATATTTTTGGTAAATTATTTTAATTATTGATAAACAATTTATCAATAAGGGTTATGAGAATAATATGAATAATAAAACCATAATTCATTAATAAAAGTTAAACAAAATATCTTACACTTCAATAGCTATATGGATTCTAACCAAAATATAGTTGACCATCAATTTAGTTTTCATTGTAAACCCCCAAAAAAAACAATTGAAGGGAAAGAAAAATGCTTACAGGTTTTTCCAATTTGTGCCGATTCGCTTTTTAATATCTATCCTTTTGCATGACAACTATACTAATTAAATGAGAAATGGTAGTAATTATCAAAATGAGTCACTACAAATGAATCAATTCGACTTATTGCGAGTCATGGGTAGGCTGAAAAAACTTGCCTCTTTACACTTTCAAATTTTGTCATCCAATTCACTGAATCTGCGAGTTTACTTTTATTTTCTAAAGTTTATAGTACTACATCCTATTAGGAGCTAGTTCAAAACAAAAAGTAATTTTTTTTTAAATTCTAATATTTTATTTTTGCTGTTATTTTTTTAGGATAAGGTCTTTTATTTATTTATTTTTGTGACCTAATCTGGTTTTATTTCACAGTCTAATATTTTTTTAACTCACTACAAAGGTGAGATTGGATTTTTTTTTGTCAACAATTGGATGAATTAAATCATTTTTAAACTTAACACGTTCATTGGTCAGAATTTTAGCTTTAGCCCCTAAGATGGCTTTTGAACTCAGTTTAAGAAAGTAGAATGTTTCATTAAGTTTAAACCTAATCTTAATTTTAAATGGGTTTCGATTGATGTATAATATTAGACTGTGCACGGCATAACTTGATTCTTAAAGAACAAAAACCACACGCTGATCCCATTTGATTTCATGCCTCAGCATGCAAGGTTATGTGTTGCAACTTGGATTTGTTCCTCGATTTTTAGACTTTTTAACATTGATTTTATTTTGACATTTAATAATCTCTTGTGCTTATATAGTTTAGATAGCAATTTTATCAAAATCTTGCAATAATACCTACTTTTGTATTGGGTGACGTCATTGATAAATTAATGGGATAAACTTGGTTGTTGATAATGTACATTATAAATTAGTCAACGAATAGGTGTACTTAAGCCTTGATTATGCATGACTTCTTAGAAGCTCCACAAATATTTTGTTCGGTTTCACCAAAGTAGTAGAGTTATAGAGGCTATGGAGCTAATTATATATTAATACTGTCATTTATTTGGTTTCTCGGTAGTTATAATTTTTCTGAAAATTTAGTTAGTAAGTTATCTAGTTATTAGTTTAGTCTTCTATATAAACATCTCCGTTTAAACGTATTATGAGTTATATATATATATATATATATATATATATATATATATATATATACACATGTAGAAATTTGCTAATAATGAAGATAATTTTGATTCAACATAGAATCCTACAAACCTTTACTACTTGCACCTTAAAGAATCCAAGAACACTTATTATTTCATCTCGGTTAGATAGTGTAAATTACCACTCATGGAGTAAGTTACAAATTTGTCAATGATTTGATCGTGTCTCTTCTTCTTTAAGATTCTTGGAAAATATACAATACAATGATTGTATTTTGAATTAATAAATCATTGAATCAATAGATTACACAAAGCACGATGATCTTTGGGATAATTTGAAGGACAAATACTCAAAAGGTGATTATTTTTTAATTTTAGATTTATTACATGAAATACATTTGATCAACTAAGGAGAAAGAACAATATCATTATACTTCATTGATCTTAAAATCATATGGAAAGAATTGGAGTCTCTAAGACCAATTCCTTCTTACACTTGTGTGGTAAGATGCAACTACAATCCGGCTAAATCAAGAGTTACAAAGATATATAGTGTGTTATTTACTTCCTCGAAGGATAAAATGAGCATTACAATACAATTCGTAGTTAGGTGCTTCTTATGGAACCATTACTGATCAATAATAAAGTGTTTTTTCTAGTTTTACAAGAAAGATAAGTTGGTAATACCTTAAGGGGAGAACCCAAATGTTTGTCCAACTTTGTTGAACAAAACATAAATTAGATACCACTATCTGGTAGAGGAACATTTAGAAATAGAGGAAGAGGAAAATTCATTAAGGGAAGCCATTACACAAAGAGATCTAATAGAGTCAATAGGCCCTAGTGCTAATTTGGTATAGCAACAAATGAATAGGCCAACCATTTAGAGGGTATATGTGAGAAGGAATAAGAAGAATATGGATTGATTATGTGGCCAGGGGTGTAGTGTGATTGGTTAGGGCTTAGGATAACTTTAAGTGATTTTCTGTTATATTGAGATAAAGTGAGGAGAGATGATATCTTGGAGAAGATTATGAATTTGTTAGAGATAAAGAGCTACAGCTCTCATTTAGGAGCCTTGCTCTGTGGACAGGAAGATTATTCAAGTATTTTTCTTTTGATCATTCAATAATACATTATTTTTCTTTCAAATATTTTTTGCAATTATTCCTTTATTTGTAAATAATTTTGCCTTAAATGGTCTGACATGTTAGATATCATTAGACCATTTTTTTTCTTTGCGCATACTGCCAAAGAAACAGGGAAGCAAGAAAGTGATGGATGCGAAAGTGATAGCGTTGGAAGCAGAGGTCTAAGCATTGAAGATAACAGTTGATATCATACAAACGCAAGTTATTATACACTGTGTTGTTGATTATGGATAAGCTTAAAGCTCTTACTAAGAAGCATAAGAATGCTAAGGATGACATAAGGGAATCTAGTGGTGATGATGGAAGTGTGAAACAAAAGCAAACAACCTCCAAGAACCATTTATTAGGGAAGAACATATCTGGGTTTGATTTGAAGAAATTACAAGGCAAAAATCTTAAAGAATTTTGCTAATCCGTGAAGAAGATTAAGTTGTCCATGTTCGAGATAAAGGATCTAAGGGAGTGGATTACTAGAGCTGGGGTGTATTTCAGAGTACATGAAACCCACGATGATGTGCGGGTAAATCTTGCCCAATTGTGTATGGAAAGGCCAACCTTACACTTCTTTAACTCCTTGCTAGACAATAATAAGGAACTCACATGGGAACAATTGAAAGTTTAATTGTTAGAACGTTATAGCAGTATTGGTGAAAGGGATATTTTCAAACAGTTGATGATGCTTAGGCAGCATGAAAAGGTTAATGAATACATATAAGAATTTGAGTGCCTGACTACATAGATAAAGCAATTGCTAAAGAACTAATATTTTGAGTATTTTATTCATGGACTTAGGGAGGAGATCAGATTTAAAGTTTGCATGTGTTTCCTGTGACACAAGTGAAGCTACTAAATGTAGCTTGTCTTATTGAAAGGGAGGTGGGTGCGCACCAAGGCGTTTCATTTATGAATAAGAGCAGCAAAAGAGGATATGATGCTTCAAATGGGTAAGCCCCAATGGTTCAAAAAGAACATGAATTCTGATTAGGTTCATGTGGGCTGAAACAGGGATGATTATAATGGAGTAGGCCAACACAGGCTTGGGTCCAAAGGAAATAAAAATGAAGAGCAAGAAAAAAAAAGAGTAAGGTTCGAAGACAGGGGTATCAAACACTTGAGTTACCAAGAACTATAGGAAAGGAAGAAGAGGCAGAGAATGAAATAGGAAATCTTCAAAACATTGAAATGGAGGAGAAAGAGGACACAAATGGTGAATGTAATATGATGATGTTGGGAAATTTAGTTTGTCATTACAATGCCAGCTCTCAAATTCCAATTCTTCTCTTGGTTGACAGTGGTGCCACACATAATTTTGTGTCTAAAAGGTTGACAAAAGGTAGGATGGGGGATGGAGGAAACACATGAGTTAAAGATTAAGCTAGGAGATGGCCACAATGCCCCAGCTAGGGGAGTCTGTAAGGGGGGATAGAATTAGAG